CTAGATACTTCCTTGTTTTGGAGTTTTCATGGCACTGTTTTCACCTGGTTCCCCTACCTGTGTTGTTATTCTTCAATCTCCTTTGCTGGTTCATACTTCATGTCACATCTCCTAAATGAAGGTATCCCCTAAGTTTCTATCCTAGACCATTTTCGCTTTTCCCTCTACATACTTTCTCTTGGTGAGGCAGCATGGTGGTACAGAGGATAGAGCATTGGGCTTGGAGTCAGGAAGACCTGAGTTCAAATCTAGTTTCAGATACTAGCCATGAGACCCTGGGCAAGTCACTTCATCTTAACCATAAAGTGGTAATAATAATAATTCTTAACTTATAGGGTTGTTGTGAGGATCAAATGAGATAATATTTGTTAATCACTTTGCCTAATGTATTTATACGTGTACCTGTCTTCCCTAATACAAATGAAACTCCTTATGAGTAATGATTGTTTTGTACTTTGTTCTTATATCCCCAGCACCTAGTACAGTGCCTGACACATAGTTGGCACTTAATAAGTACTTGTTGATTAATTGATTTCTAAGTCTTGCACATCTAGGCTATTTCACTAATCTTTTTAAAAAATTATCTAATACTAGGTAATTTTGATAAGTACTTTTTGATTAGTAATACATATATACATATATACATACATATATACATATATAATATATATAGTGCTGAGCCCCTTTTGTACTTTTAAAAATTATACACCTTCATAATATTTCTTTTTCTGTTACATCATAGATATTTATTGAATGGATTTACATATACTCATGCATAAACAAAACACATGTACTCCATAGATTTCATATAATCTACTGATACCATATTCCTTCTTCCCCATCTGGCATAACTACATGTAGGACAAGACTGATCAGATCTAGTTAACCTCTAAGGGAGATGTGAGATCTGCCACCATACATTAATTCAATCCACAACTATTTATTGAGTATACACTATTTGTGAGATTTTGCCAAGCATTGATATGTGTGGTAATGGGGTTATACTAAAATTTAATTTAATTTTTAAAATAGTATGGTGTAATGTATAGGGAGCCAATCTTAAAGCTAGAAAAATATGGGTTCAAGACCTGCCTCTCACATATGCAGACCATATGACCCCAGACAAATCATTTAATTTCTCAGTGCTCTAGGCAACTCTCTAACTCTGGAGGTTATATAGAATATACCTTCATATTCTTGACCTTTTGTGCTTCCAAATAAATTTTATTATTTTGTCTAATTTTATAAAATACCTCTTTGGTGATCTGATTGGTATAGCACTAACTTTGTAGCATTATTTGCGTAATATGATTTTTATTAAATTGATATGGCTCTGCCATGACTATTAAACACTTTTCCAAGTATTAAGGTCTTTTTTGTGTGTGAAATTGGTTTTAGTTGTAGACTAAAGACCTACATGTGTTTTGGTATGTCATCTCCCAGATACTTACTGCATTTTGTTGTATTTTTAAATCAAATTTAGTTTCCTATTTCTTCCTTCTGGGTTTTTCTTTATTGAAGCCATTATCTTAAATTTGGTATGGTTGGTTCTTAACACCATAACAGAGATAATACTGTTTCTCCTCTTTATGCTTATTTCCTCAGTTTACTTTTCTTGTCATTGCTATACCTAGTATTTCTTGCAGATCTGTTAAATGAGAACGAAGACAATGAGCAATGCTTGCTTTACTCCTGGTGTTACTGAGAAAGCTTTTATTTCTTACTTTTTTTCTACAAATAATATTTCTAACTGCATTTCCCAGAGACATCCCAAATTCAACATTTCCAGTACTGAATTTGTTGTCTTTATTCCCCAAACCTACCCCTCTTTAATATTTCTCTATTTCTGTCAAGGTACTACCATTCTTTTAGTCTTTCAAGTTTATAACTTTGACATTATCCTTGATTCCTCATTTTCCCTCATCTCACACATCCAGTTACCAAATTTTGCATTTTCTACCTCTCATTTATCTTACCCCCTTCCCTCTGTTCACACAACTACTTTCATTCAACAAATTATGAGCCTTCATCTAAATTATTTTAATAGCTTTTGAATTGCTCTCCCTGCCTCAAGTGTTTCTCACTACTTCACTCAGCTGCCAACTAATTTTCTTTAAGTATAAATCTGACTGTATCACTCTCTTATGAAATAAATTTCAGTAGTTCCTGTTGACTCTAGGACCAAATATAACTCTTCTTAAAGCCTTTTACATTTTGGCCCCCAATTTATCTTTCCAGAATCATTGAACATCACTCCCTTTCCCATGATCTGTGACCCAACCAAATTGACCTTCTATCTGTTTCTCAGACATGGCTCTCTGTTACCCATTTCCTTGTCTTTGTACTGAATTTCCCCCATGGCTGGACTACTTTCTCTCCTCACCTCCGCTTCATAGAATCCCTCTTCCTTCAAGATGAAGGTCAATCACCACCTACATGAAACCTTTTATGATCTCAAGTTAGTGCCCTCTCAACTACATTATATTTAATTAAATTGTACTTATTTGTATTTATTTTGCATATACTTGCATATATACTTGTCTCCTCGTTAGAATGCAAATTCCTTGAAAACACAGGGAATGATTTATTACTTATATTTATGTCCATTGTATATAGCACACAGCCTGAAGAGTAGGCATTTAACAAGTATTTATTGATTGGTTGATATTTCATTGGTCTTTTCAAAAATCAGTTCTTATTTTTATTTATCAGTTGCATAGTTTTTTTTGTTTTTATATTTTTTTATCTTATTTTTAGGATTTCTACTTTTGTGCTTCTTTTGGGATTGTTTGTTTAATTTTCTTGCTTTTGATTTCATGTTCAACTAATTGGTCTTCTCTTTCTCTCTTTTGTTAATGTAAGTGTTCAAAGACATACTTTTCTCCCAAGGATGGCTTTAGATTTGCCCCCACATATTTTGGCATGCTATCTCCTTATTTTCTTTAATATAATTATTCATTATTCTTATTATTGTTCTTTGACCCATTTATTCTTTAGGATATAATTATTTGGCCTCTCAGTCCTTTATTAATATTTTACTTATTGGTTACAATGTTTGTTGCATTATAGTCTATGAAGAGTGTTTGGAATATTTTGGTTTGTCTGTATCTGTTTATGGGCTCCTTATGTCCTGTCACCACTTAGGATTTTGTAAAGGCACCATGCAATGCTAAAGAATTGATATATTCTTTGTGATTCCCATTCATTAATCACCAAATATCTATCACATCTAAATCTTAGAGGCATGTTGTATGTCTGTGTGTCTGTGTGTGTGTTCCATTTCTATAGGGCCTAAATAATGCAGTTTCTCTGCTTGGCTCTGACTATATAAATTTTTACAATTTCCTTTGCCTAGAGAATGACTGCCACTTAAGCTTTTTTATATTCAGTGAAGGAATAAGAAGTTCTAGTCTAACCCCTGATTTTAATTCATCATTAGTTTTTATGTTTTAGATGTGCTTCTTGTATAGAGCAAATTATTGTTTTGTTTTCTAATTCATTTTGCCACCATCCTCCTCCTTTTTATGATTAAGTTCATCCTACTGTATTTCACTAACTCCAAGTGCCAGCCATACTGGCTAATTTGGTATTCCTTATACTTGACATTCTATTTTCCATCTCTGTGTCTTTGCATTGGTTGTCCCCCAGACCTGGAATGTTCTCTCTCCTCACCTTACTTTCATAAAATCTTTACCTTCCTTCAAGGTCCAGCTCAAATGCCACCCCCTTTGGGAGGCCAATCCTAATCTTCCTTACATTACAGTTATGTTTATTATTGTTATTTGTTTTCTGTCTGCCAAATCTTATTATAATAAGTCTATTCTAAGTCTGTAATAAGTGAAAGAAAAATCAAATATCAAGTATTTATTGGGTACAAAACACTGTGTTAGGTGCCAGGGATGAAAATGGAAAAGAAGAGGTAGTCCCTGCTCTCAAGGAGCTCTCATTCTATATTGAGTTTCAGTCATAAGTTAGATGGATAGATTCTCTTGTACTTAGAGTGCATCATCAAAGCAGATGTTAATGTATCTTTTTTAATATAATTTTCACTGAGAAAATGATATCTCCTCCTAATGTTGAAACTTACGACAGTGCCAAGGTCTTTGGTGAAGAAGGAGCTAGTTACCATCATCCTGTTTCAGCCTTGATAAGATCTACCTCAACAGAAAAGATCTGTGACCTTTTACGTCTTTTCTGGGTCTTCGGAATCTGTTGTTGCTGAGGAGGTAGGGGTAGTTCATTCTCCAGTTTGATTCATGGACAGTGCTCCGTGGTGATTGACCTGTAACACCTACAGAAGTATTCTTCAGGTCCTCTCCACAGGGTTTGATTCACAGGATGATGGCTTTGGAGGATAAACTGGAAGTAGTACTGGTGGTGAATGTGGAGGGAGCTGACAATCCAAGGGCTCTTGGTCTTACTTTCTTGTCAGTGGCAGTTGGCTATCACTTAGTAGTGATGAAGAAGGTAGATCTCTTTTTCACAGTGACTGCTTTTTTCAATAATGGCTGTAGGGGCCACCAGACTAGAAGCAGAGCCAGTGGTTTCCCTTGTGCTGCTGTTCCCAGGGCTCTTAGCTTTCAAGTCCTGAGCTAACTTCATTGAGGTCTATGGGGAGATGGTACTGGTGGCCTGAGTCTGCTTCCCACACTCTCTTCCTCAGGGCACCTTTTACCTTCAGGTAAACTGAAATGCCTGCCCCGTGGGTTGAATCAATGAGTGTCATCAATGAATGAGGATGACCGGACTTTTCTACATAGGTGTTACTTCCCTGATCCATGTGTCTTTCTGAATCTACCTGTTGAGAGTTTTTTTTCCCTTTTTTATAGGTTTCTATCATTAAGCTTTGAATCAGTCAAAGATGTTACTCAATTCTGCACTCTATTTCAATATCACTAAACCAATAGAAATTTTTTTTTTTTTGGTGAAGCAATCAGGGTTAAGTGACTTGCCCAAGGCCATACAGCTAGTAAGTATCAAATATCTGAGGCTGGATTTGAACTCAGGTCCTCCTGACTCCAAGGCCAGACCTTTATCCACTGTGCCACCTAGCTGCCCAAAAATTTCTAAACTAAAGCTCTAAGTTATAATTGTTCATTCTCCAGTTTAATAATTCTTAGATATTACATAAGCTGTTAAGGAAATATTTTTCAGAGCACATATTTTCAGTTTTTACTGGAGAATGTCCATCTTCCACTCATAATAAAATCAACTGGTCATCTCTTGAACTCTGCAGAATGTCATGAATACCAGATCTGTTGAAATAAAGGTAAAATAAAGACCTCATTCCCTCTTAGGATGAGTAGATTCTGCCAGGTGAGAGAGGTTGCTTGAGATAACAGTGCTCTCGGTGGGTTCCTGTTTGATCTTTCCCATCAATAAGCACAATAGGAAAGAATTTGTGGTACTCAATTATATCTTCTACTGAATCAAATTTCTGAAATAAAAGAAAAAGCATTTAAAAATTATTCACAGTTACAAACCATGTCCAAGATAAACCAAACAATTTAGTTCAACAAATTCAACAAATATATTAGGTTCTTGGAGAACTGAAGAGAGATATAAAGAAAGGGACTCAGATCTTAAATTTCTTTTTAAGTTAGTCGATGATTAAACGTGGTCTGTGTGCATTGGGGAGGTCTAGCATAGATGGATTGCTTAAAAGAGGAAGGTAGAAAGAAATGTATCCCATTGTTGTGACCCTTGGCAACCAAATGAACCAACGTTGAAGGAGGTTGCTCCTTGAGAGAAGAAGAGGGCAAGAATTGTAGCCCCTAGTGGGCCAGCATTGCTACATTAAAATCAAGCTAAACTGATTTTGTTTCTCACATGAAATGGGAGGGACTAGCTTCTAGCCAATTCCAAGCCCCTAATTCTTTCCCCGCACCCCCCAAGGGAGATTTTATTTTTTCTTTCCTTTGTTGTTTTGGGATGGGATAGGCCCTAAGCAACAAGACAGGCAGTAGCCTATTAGGACTTTGCAGGATGTTTGTCAAGTTGTACCAAAATATATGTTGAGGTATGGAAGAATATGAATGACCATGTTTGAGTAGGAATTTCCACATTGGGAAAGACATTTGAGATGGATAATGCAGAAGTCAGTAAAAGGCTATCCAGCATTTCACTTGTATCAAACATATTGCAGGAGATTTTTGGAGGACAGTGAATAAAGGGTGAGGTGGATACCACCCCATCTCATTTTTGCTTTAATACCTTAACTAATTAAGAATGTCTCAATCAATCACTTTATAGGCCTTAGACAAAGTACTAAACAGCTTTCCAATTGGGATGATGTTGCACAAGAATCAGGTTCAGAAAGCTGGCCATAGCTCAAAGGATTATTTTAAAATTATTAAACAAGATGAGAAGGGATTGATTTCTAGAAGTTGGAGGAAGTATTTCTTTCCAACACACCGTGGGGAAGAACTATCAGTGGGTAAAAACCTTTGGTCAAATCTCCTTTCCCCTTTGGCCAGTGGAGATCCTTCCCACTAGTGTTCTAGCATCATCTCAAGATCAGCTCATAGTAGTATCTGCATTAGGAGCCAAGGATAGATGGATGAAGTTCACCATGCTTAAGGGGAGCTTCTTGAGCACACTACACATGGGAGAAAAGGACTTGTAGCATCCCAGAGCTATGAGTTATTTCTTTGCCACATGTGTTCTCTAAGCCTGAGCCTACTCTTCCCTGGATTCTGTATGGGTGGGAGAGTGTATCACAGACTTGGGATGTTTTGTACTAATTTCTTATCATGACCTTTTAGTACATGTTCCTTTCTAAAAAAACACTTAAGGCTGAATGACTACATTGATTTTTAATAGAAGCACACTGCTAGGGGCTTAAGCAAGCCCCTCAGGGACACCCCTAGAATGCTGAAGAGGGTATTAAAGTTTTAGGGACCTGACATCAATAAGAGCCAAAGTTGTACTAAAGTTATCTGAGACCTTATGTAGGCTACATTTTTTAACTAAGCAGAGGGATAAATAATGTTAGATTCCTTTTGCTCATATTGGCCAGGTCAGAAAGGAAGGAATTATCAGAATTATCTGGAAGGACTATGGTCAAAAGATAGATCTGAAAGTCATTAAGTAATGTTACCTCTTGACCCCCTTCTGATACTCCCCCTCAACTTGGATGTAGTTCTCTGTTCTGAGCATGTTGTATTTCAGGTGACTATATATCTTTTCTGGACAGGTAGGTGGTGCAGTGCCTCAAACACTTACTGGCTCTGTGACCCTAGGCAAGTCACTTAATCCTGTTTGCCTCAGTTCCTAATCTGTAAAATAAGCTGAAGAAGGAAATGGCGAACCGTTCCAGTGCCTTTGCCAAGAAAACCTCAAATGAGGTCACAAAAAGAGTTGGACACAATTGAAATGACTGAATAACAAAAACAATGTCTTTTCTAATGGCTCAAGTTCCCCAATACTAGGGAATTGACTAGGGTCCTTAACCACATGTGATCTCTTCCCTATAGGGTGCTAGACAATCAAAACTCAACGTTACCTTCACAGTAGAGGAAGGAGTGAACAACACAGGAAACCCATTTTTTCTCCCTAGTAGAGTGACTATTCCCTCTTGCCTCACTCTCCCCACCTAAGCTATTGCCAGCCCAAGTTAATTACTTGCATAGCAGATTCCTTCACAGCAAGATAGTATGATAAAACAGAACAACACTAGCTCTGGAATCAGAGGACCTGGATTCAAATCCTGCGTCTGATGTTTACTGTGTGAACTTAGGGCACCTAGGTGGCAGTGTGGATAGTGCGACAGCCCTAGAGTTAGGAAAAACTGAGTTTCAATCCAGTCTCAGACCCTTACTAGCTATGTGACCTTGGCCAAGTCACTTAACCTCTGTTTGTTTGGGTTTCCTCATTTGTAAAATGGGGATAATAATAGCATGTACCTTCCAAGGTTGTTATGAGGATCAAGTGAGATAATATTTATAGGCACTCAGCACAATACCTGGCACAATATGTAAGTGCTATCATCATCATCATTAAACCCACTGATTCCAGTTTTTGTATAGTGAGGTGGTTGTATTAGATGGCTTCTGAGTTCCCTTCTAGCTCTCAATCTAGGAACCTGTATGTGGAAGCAGAATATATAAGCTATTAACAGATAATGAAAACAAAATAGCCTGTATGCAAATTCTACAGTATAGATATCAGAAGACACTAACTTTTTTATAAACATAATTGAGAATTTAGTGCATAGAACTACTATTGTTTTAACCTTTGTGATTTATAGTATCTTTTCTTCATTCTGGAGGACCATGTATGATACTGACTTATGATTTAATTTAAAAAAATGTAATTTTGATTTGTGTTCATTTTCCATTTGATAAACATTATGCTCCTAAATTGTAGCTTTAATGTAAGAATCCAACAGGATTGAGGCCATTAATAGAACTTTCCCTGAGGATTTTCCACAAGAGTATATAAGGCTCAGACTTCTTTTGTCAAGGGCAGCAGGTTGGTACATGGTTGACAGGAATCCCTGTGGGGTGACCATCTTCCCAATAGTTGTTTGAATATTTTCTAATAAAAATATTATTTCTAACAGAGCTGATTGTTAAACACAACACTGAGTGACTTAGTTTATTTTCTTTGACATAAGAAATGGATTAGGGAAAAATAAGTTGTAAGCTGTCAAAACAAGCAGAGTCAACTGTAAGAACAAACAACAGGAGTAGAGTTTAAGTTCTGGCTTTGCGTTACCTGCATGACTTTGGCCTCTTCTTTTTATCTCCTGATTTTTTCAGAACAATTTGGTGAAATCGGTAGTGTGATTATTGTTACATTCCTATTTTATAGATGAAGATACTGAGGCTTACAGGGGATATATGTGTAAAACATTTTGGAACTATAAATAATTTAACATACATGTTATCAACATTATTGTTATTGTTATTATCAGGGGTACTGGGAGGTTTTATATTCTTTGCCTAGTAGATACTACTATCTCTGTAGCTTTTATAGCAGCTAAGATGTAGTGGGTGACCAATGGGCCTATACTACTTTTAATCAGGATAATGAAGAATTTCAGTAACATTCAAGTTAATCCAAAAAGCATTTATTATGCACCCGCTATTTGCAAGGCCTACCGGTAGGTTAGGCAATAGGAATGTAAAGATAAAAAATTACATAGCCCCTGATCATAAAGAGCATGGAATAAGACACAATGAGTATAACGCGAGGTAGACTGAGTTAAGTACCAACAGTAGGGCTATACAAAGTGATATGAGAAAGATAAACAAAATACAGTTTTTCACCAGGAGAGTATAATAAACAAATTTAATTGATGATCTCTTAAGACCTTTTCCACCTCTGAATTGCTAAAAGTTCAAGTCCCTATCACTGGGACTGTGCCTACATGAAGTGAATAAAACAAGTCTGTTCTACCAAATAACCAATTAATTTAGTGAAGGTACAGTGTCAAATTAGTCAAACTTTGACAAACAAAAATCAATAAACCCACCACAATACAGTGTTTGGCTCACTTTTAGCTTTGAAAACCAAGTACACTCTGTTTTTGTGATGAGATCTTCTGTTCAAGATATATTCACCATAACAGATCTGAAACTGTGCTATAGAATCTATACATTTGATGCACAGTCACCTCAGAATCACAGAATTTAAAGTTGAAAGAGATCCTAATAATCATCTAGCCTAACCTATGCCCAAAAATGTAATTTACAGGTAAATGATTATTTTTTTTCAGACTATAATATGGAGTTGGAAAGATAACTTGTAGGGCACCTCCATTCGTATCAATTAGTAAGCATAACAATATGTGTATATGTCTTTCCATCCATCCATCCATCTATCTTCTGGCTACCCAATTTTGGACAGACAGTACAAATGTACACTGAGCTGGTTCCAGAATTGTTGAGGTGGAGGAAGTTGGGATAGATTGTCTTTGGGAAATTACAAATGTTTTTAATTACCCTAAGCATCTCCTTAAAACAAAGGTCAGTTTTTAATAAGAGTTTTCTTCCAGTGATCTATAGTCTCTGAAAAGTTGAGGATCACCCAGAGGACAGGAAAGGCCTCCAATGCATTACAATCAAAGAATTATAAAGGAAGTGAATTGTAAAGGATGTCATTAAGGAAATGTGATCAAAGAAAGAAAAAGGACTGATGTTGTGTGAGAGATAATTAATGGATATATTGTATATTTCATTGATATCCTTGGGATATCAGAAAAATTTGAGTCAGATCTCTAGCATATTAGGGAAATCTTTTATGGTAGATAGATGGACAGACAGATAGATATGGATAAGAGTCATGAGTTGCAACTTTCATCACTGGAGGGAATCCTCACATGAATAATAGCCATCTGAACATTTGATATTGATAAGCTAGAGGGCATGAAAGAGTGTCACCAAGATGTTGGGGAACTGGACATGATGGCATACGAGAAAACATCAAAGGAAC